AGTTGGATCAGATCTGACTTAGAGACGTTTTGATTATGGATGAACAATATCAACATCCAGCCACTGATGATCTATGATTTCCCATTTATGCTGATTCATCGGTCCTTGAGTTGAGATCACACTGCTGAATAGTGGCGTAATTTAATGACTTAGAACATACAGATGATATAGTCCCCCTAGGTGAAGACACTGACAAAATGCAGTCTTTTGAACACATTGAGCACCAACAATCTGCGAATGTTTGACATGCGATTCACCTGCTCCCGTCTAATACAAGATGATCCTACAGGACTGGACTACATTGACTCACTCACGCCTAGTTTAAAGATAGACAGGAGTGAAGTAGTTAGTGGAGCGTGTTGACCACTTCACTTATTTGGGAAGTTGCATCAGCCAACGACAACGGGTTGATCGCTGACGAAATTTCAGCAAGGATACAGAAGGCTCGTTCGGCATTTCATAGCCAACTCACTCCATCTCTGGCTTAGTAGACATGATATCCGGCTAGCTGTCGACCAAAGGCCTTGTGTATTGCTCAGCAGTTTACTCTGTCCTCCTTTATGACTGGCTATGAGATATGGCCATTAAAAGTGGAAAATATGTTAAGCCTAGCTATCGTTGATCATAGGTGCTTGCGTCGTATCTCCCATGTTATGTGGTATAATAAGGTGAGCAATATTGAGGTTGGCCATTGGTCGAGTATTAGGTAAGGAGGGGGAATCAATCAATTAGGTTGTGAAGTTATACCCATTGAGTAGATTAGATGTTACCACACACATATCTTGATTTTAGTACTGAATCCCCTTTATCAATATTATTCTCATTCCTCCAATTCCTTTTGCCTTAACGAGTAAACACATATATGTTAACATCACCAATCTGTTCACGAATACGCCTAGTTGACAAAGTTTTACAGCTGGGTACTCATTGATTGCAAGACGAGCATAACTGATATTATCTCTTGTGACTAGGACCTGAAGAACCCACAGCTCTGAATCAGTAGATGAAGAGATCACTCTTTTGACGATATCATTAACCGTCATGCTATACAGATGGACACATTAAGCCCAAAATCAACAAAGAACACCTCCAACCTCTGTGCAGAAGATGCTATACATGAATGTAGCATTCAAAGACCACCTTCTGGCCCACCCACCCATAAAGAAGAGAATATTTAAAGCCTTGAGAAAAAACATCCTTCGCTCCTACTTTACGATTGGTATCGTCTTGCCACTCAAGGTTCTTCAACAACTCCAAAGATAAACTATCGACAACTTCTATGTCTATCTACCAATTCACTTGCTCATGTGGAGCGAGATATATAGGTCGTTGACAATGCATATTTCATCTCAAACAGTCAAAGAGCATTATCCAACTTGGTTACGAAAACCCAACAGTGGATCAATAAGGAGTACTATACAACTGAACATATATTCAGCATTGTTCACTCAATATGTAAGGAAAATTCTGATTTATGTACACAGAAGTAACTTCTCCATCCCCTCCTCTGTTCTACCCTGGATGTAATTCCAAGCTCAACTGTTATCATTATTTTGCTATTAATAGTATTTTGTGCATTTTTCGTATGACATTTAGAATGGTCATTCCTTAACTAACCTTCTATTTACTCTTTTCACCTACTACACAATTTATTTTGATACTCGCCTCTATGCTCTTTCATTAACATGCAATTTCACCTGGACGTTTTCATATTACGCAACCCTAGTCTAAACTAACTGATCTTGGAACTACCTCCCACGCCCTTAGTTAAAATTTTGGCTATTCACGATATATATATATATATATAATGGTAGAGCTAGGTGAATGAATTCGTCGAAAAGAGACTGTTCACTGAAGTCTTTGTTCATTTTCATGTTTGGATGAGTCACTTTTCACGAAAAAACGCTAAAATTGTAACAACAGAAGATAAGGGCTAGGTAACAGATCGTTTATTGAGAAAATCAACAGATATTAATAAACTTTTAATTACATTATTTTTAGCGTTATTGTTAGCAGGGAAGCAACGTCTTCTGATTGGTTGTTTTCCTGGCGAAATTTATTCTATCATATCTCTGTGGCAATTTCTTTGAATTAATTGAATTTTAGATTTTTCCCGTCGATTGATTGGACCGAAGTGCTCGGTCTCAGGTTGACATGTCGGCTTCTTGAGCAGATGCTTCGACGATGTCTGGGCATTTAATTAGTATTTAATTGGTGGATGGTGACTAGCAGTGGAATCAAGGATGCGTGTTTCGTCCTATTTAGGACTCGTCAGCCGGATGTACCTGCATTTCTGAGTGAGTGATGATGTTCCCACGAAGGCTCAAACCCAGTGCCCATAGTTTCCAACGCCAAAGCGTTATCCACTAGACCACTATCCACCAGAAGCCGGCATGTCAACCTGAAACCGAGCACTTCGGTCCAATCAATCGACGGGAAAAATCTAAAATTCAATTAAATCAATATGACCCGTTGCACAAGAGGTGGCTGTCGTGGCCCAAGTGGTCTAGTGGATAACGCTTTGGCGTTTGAAACTATGGGCACTGGGTTCGAGCCTCGGTGGGAACATCATCACTCACTCAGAAATGCAGGTACATCCAGTTGGCGAGTCCCAAATAGGACGAAATACGCATCCTGGATTCCACTGCTAGTCACCATCCACCAATTAAATTTCTTTGAAGGTCAGACCATATATCTGCGAATCGTATCCGCCCACGCAAAGTCTGCTGTGATTGGTTGTTGAGTTACACCGTGTTCTTGATTTTTTTCTCATGACCAGGATTTGGGATGTAAACATTGACGTAAATTGTTGTCTACCAATTTTGGCCAGCAGACAGCTCTCAACACAAAATTACCTCGGTAGTTCACGGTTAGAATGCTTCGAAAATTGCTAGCCCACTAAAAAAAATGTTAACTTGGAGAAATATTCCTTCCGTGTGAACAGGAATTATGATAACTGTACCTTGAATCTATCCTGATAGATTCACTATACTCGGCGCCTACTTTAGCCATCACAGATACATCCCTCGAAAGCCGGTAAGTATGCCATTCTGAAAACCATTGACGATATATTATCTTAAGTTCGTAGCGATGGAATACACTGAGGCGAACGTAGATGCGAGCTATTGTATCACTAAGAAAGAGATGTTAGACACTGCAGCGTTCATTTCTAAGTACATAGACCTTACCTCTCGGGTATATCTATTGTGCTCAGAACACATCATAACAAAGCACTTAAACGGTGGTTACAGAACTTTAAGGACCAGACGGATAGGTGACAGGAGTATCTTCAGGAATATGACTTTGAATGTTTACGCTGATGCATTATCCAGGCGATCTCCAACACCATATGGAGACTGTTCTCCCTGTGAAAAGGGCAAAGTTCAACAATGGCGTCCCAAGATATACGAACGCACGAGTGACCCTGAGCCGACCAATCATAAAAATGAAGTATAGTTACAAGAAAACGCATGAAAACACATTAAACAGGTTATCTTTCTTTGACATTACTTAAAAATACGTCCCAGTTATAATGAGGAGTATCGGTTGCTAAATTAGACTAGTTTCTGCACATGTATTCACCGAGGTGATTGAAGATGAGCTGTTTCTGTGAATCGTTCATCTCTCTTATCGGGTTGTGCAGTCTTCCCCGAAAGCTGACGTTTGAATTACTATGCTTTTCAGTAAGAGGATCGGCGACTACTTACCAGGAATATGTGGACAATAAAACAAATTAAAATAAATGATATCAACTATAAATCTATCCCAAGTCGTAACCCTAACCGTCATCCTAACCATAATTACAACCCTTATCCTAAGCGTAAACCTAACCCTAATTATGACCCTGATCCTAGCCCTAACGAGATATCAACACATTGTCCAAACAGTACTTAAAAACGTGATCTGGGTGAAATTTGCTCCTTATTTGGTGAATAGCGTAGATATTTAAGCTATGATAATGACAGGTGCCGTCAGTCAACGACCAACATGCCTTCAAGGCCACTGGAGAGTTCATACTCCTGGAACGCTACTTTTGAACTTCGCCGTGAAAAAATTGATGTCTGAGCTATTTCGATGGAAAGATTGAGGCGAACACAGTGGGTACATATATATAAACGGTGAGACAGCACCCTTATATAATTAACCACTGTACAATCCTACTAGAAGAGCCGTCAAAGCTGACGTAAAAGGAGGAACGAGTTTGGGGTGACGATGTGTATGTTTGTAGACGGTATTTTATCTGTCCACAACCAGGGGCCCCTAATTATCCCCTACTGCACATGGTTTTTACATAGATTGAGGTGGCTAGGTCACGTGCTGAGCATGCCTAACCATTGCCTCCCCCGACGGACGGGCATTACTAGCTGATATAGGTGCAGGTTGGAAAAGAGTAAGTGGTGGCCAAACAAAAACTTGGCATCAGTCCATGAAATCCTTGACAGTTAAACTGAGTCAGGTAGGGAGATGAAGACTTCCGGGTTGGGGCCCTCGGGACTCTAAGAACCAGTGGCCGGAGACAATAGGTGACATGGCTCAAAATCGTTGTCAATGGCTTACGCAGATGTATTCAGTCTCTGTAATCTTTCATATTCCTTTCTACCATTACTCACTCTGTTTCACTCTTATACTTGTCAAAACTCTATTGATTCTTTTCACTCATCCATTTTCTTGTCTACCTTTGTGTGCTATTTGGAACGTGGCAACTCGAACTGCTGCACTTCGGTGCCAAGTTCTATGTTGAACCCAAACATACTGCACATGGTTTACCGTTCGATTCCCGACCGACAACGATACTCCCAAACCTCATCCATATCTACCTAACTACTGAAACTAGCCAACAGTAAGCCTAACTGAGGAAAAAACAAACAGAAGATTGAACGTCATCAGCCTAGTGTAACCCCACTACTACATTTGGTGAACGCCCTTCCCTCCACTCGGAACACATAGCAACAAAGACTCGAGTACATACACATATAATATGCATATATAGATTTCCTTTTATTTTATTTTTTAAAGTATTCAAAGAAGAGACAACTCTGTAGAAATATACAGATGAAATCAAAAGAAAAGAAAACAAAGAGAACAAAATAACTCCAGACAACGTTAATAATAGTAATAATAATAATAAATAAGACTCCCTCTCCCTCCAATAAACCCTCCCCAGCAGCAGCACCAGCGCCACCACCACCACCAATACGACTTTTTCATAACTTTAAATAAATAATATATATCAAGATAATAAATAATATTATGCTTTCAACCCATTCTTTTCATCTTGACGACAAAAAACAATGGGAATAAATAAACGCAGAAAAAAAAGGTGAAGAGAAACATGATAGACTGCGCCAGGGCGGTCGCTTAGGTCAGTCAGTCAGTCCGTCAGTCGTGGAGATAAAAAAAAAGGTAGAAAGATGAGAGAGAGAGTAATCATCACAGTGTAATTATTGATTTTGGTAAATAAGGGAATAAAAAGACAAGATTCTAGAGTATTACAAGTAGCATTAGTAATAATGATAGTAAAACCGAAGAAAACAATTTTGGAATGATTGAAAATTTTTGAGAAAAAAAGAAACATACTACAAAATGACTTTGCCAATAATAGTAATAATAATATTAATAACCTGTCTTGGCTGACAACATCTACGATGGACAGAGAGCGTTCATTGAGCTTGTGTTCCCCCATGTGTGTCTGTGTGTTTGGGCACGCGCGCGCGCGCATTTTAACGTGGATAATACTTTTCTAATATTTTTGCAGGTATACGTTTCAATAATTCTTTTGGGAATATACGCAGTAATTCCCAACCAATGTCTAAGGAATCAAATATACTACGATTTTCATATGCACCTAAAGAGAAATAAGGAGAGAGAGAATAAGCAAAAATTAGAAAAATAGGAAAAAAAATAGAAATTACAAATGACGTTCACCAGCTGCAAGTTATTCTCCATCTCTGTAAAAGATTAACTCCCCCGTCTCACCGCCTTCATGTGCATCTATCACAGTTCACTTGCTCCTCTTGTAGAGCAAGGTACATTGGCTGTAGCTAGAGGACGCTTTCTACACGGATACGAGAACATATTCCAGCATGGTTTTACTAAGGAGAAAGGAAGTGTGTGCGAATCTCTATTCTAGAACATCTGATCGACTTCTGTCACTCTGCCAATCCTGACCATGGTTTTAAGATCATATACAGAATCCATACTAACTTCCCGCGTTTTCTTCGTTACAGACTTCTAAAGACAGAGGAGGCCTTGACAATTCATGACTTTAAGCCAGACCTTTGTGTACAAAAGAAGTATGTACAATCCCAACTTCTGCCCTGGCTGTAGAGGGATAGACATTTATTTATTTTGATTGGTTGGAGGATTTCATCATGAACTGATATCAGTTAGAGAACCATTGGAAAACCAGCTGGGAGTACTGGACAGCTGTTTCGTTAACCTAGTTTGTGACTCTTCATCAGTACGTACCCACCAGTACGGTTCGAACCCAGGACCTTCTGATTACAAGGCGAGCTCGTAGATCATTAAGACATTGGGACCCGATCCAATGGCTCATGAATTCTAACTTTTGCCAATTCATGACATATTTTGTTTATTTAGTTATTCTATGTACCTTTCCCACATTTCTACGATTATTATTATTATTCTCACCCTGAATTGTTTCCACTTGTCCCACTTGTCATTCTAAATCCAAAATTTTTATTTTTTATTTTTACAATATTGAATTCTATCGTATCAAATTTTACACCATGTTATGTAACATTTTATATTCGCCTACTAATCCTATAATTATCCACCCCTTTCCAACATCTCTACATCTTACGAATTATTCTACATATGACATTTAACCATGAATATAATCACAAATATTTTAATTACATTTCATACTATAATTATTTCATGTATTCACTGCTTTGATCTAATTCCCTCACTGGATATAAATGATTGAAAACCATATATATATATATATATATATATATATATATATATATATATATATACAACTACACAGCTTGATAATAAATTCGTTGAATATTGTGTTCTTAATGCTACAGTGGGAATTATTAAATTATATAAATGTGAGTTAAGATATTTTATGTGATTCGATATTCTTTCCCTTGAAAAGTGGGTCTTTACTATTTTACAAGTCAGTTGATTAAATAAGGATATCAAATAACTCTAATTGAATCACTGCTTAACGGGAATCTTCTTTAGGGATGTGAGACATGGTCATTGAAAGTGGGAGACATGAAACGGTTAGTTATCTTTAACCACAGATATCTGCGTTCAGTTTCCCATGTTAAGTGGTACAATATTGTGAGTAATACTCAGCTCAGATTTAAGCGAAGCGTAGAGTGAACTGATAAGGTGGTGACGCTATATTACTTAAGATGGCTGGGATATGTGTGTTGCGCATACTGAGCCATACTACAGATTACCCCAAAGTCTTTATCAATCTCATTCAACCACAGCTATATGACAATGCCAAGTGTCAGGTGATCCCCACAGAGGAAAATTCAGCAAGGTGTTTGGAGTGAATACATGAGTACGACAAGCTAGCTAGCTGCCTGTCTATTATCAGCAATGATATTCTTGATTGTGGTGGACTGATTGGATTATGCGTCACACAATGCGTTGGGAGTGAGAAGACAGGAATACGCTGGACCACCGAGAGGAGAAGACTCTAGAAGATCTAGATTTCGCGTGTGGATGTCTAATGTCACAAGAACTCGAGGATTTGCAAGAAGGTGAAAACCAACAAAATGCCTGAAGAGTCTGGGAGCGAAGACAGGACTGCAGGTGGACATAGAGGAGGTGGAGACGGAGGTGATGAAGATAACCAACCAATCGACCACCATCAACAGCGACAACAACCAGAACCAACCACCATCAACGGGAGAGATTTGACGGAGGTTACTTCCTATCTTCACTTATCCATCCAGGAAGCACAGCTTCAACCACAGGCAGTTGGAACGGATGAAGATGTCAAAGCCAGACAGAATCGGGAAGGCGAGATACACCCTCATCAACTTGAAACCAGTTTGGAAATCTTCTGCACCGCACTCCGCACTTCGGATTCTATTCAACACCAATCTGAAGTCAGTCAGTCAGCTCTTGTATACGGGTCAGAAACTTGCACTGCGTTCACGTCACGAAAAGGTTTGCCAACAAGACACTGCAGACTTTTATCAACAGCTGCCGCCTTAGCTGGTTGGCTCCATACTGAAGACCAAATGACTAGTTGGTCACAAAGAATTAACAACAAGAAACTCTGACTGGGAACAAACCAACAGGCGAGAGCCGATTACGCAACAAATATGCACAAGAAAATGGAGATGGATCAGGTATACGCTGAGGAGACCGTCGAATGACATCGCGCTCAATGCACGCCATCACTCGAGTGGAATCCAAATGGGAAGCGACAAGTGAGTCGTCGGTGTGACGGTGACGCGGATGAGATCATGTGAGTTGGATGAAGAGATGAGAGATTATGGACAATCGTGGAGCTAGCTAGCTGAAGAGGATGGCAGAGAATAAAAGAAATTGGATATGCGTTGCTGAAACCCTGTATTCCACTCGGAAGCCAAGGGAAGTGGTGTCAAGTGTGATCAAATCAAAGTGTGGAATCATTCCATGAAATGACTAACTGTTGGTATGAGTCACATAAGAAGGTGCAAACTGTCTTGTTGTTCTCCTCGAGACGGTAAAAACCGTTGGCTTGAGACTGTCAGTGACACGACTCAAAACAGTTGAATTTCTTTCCTACTTCTGTGTACTATAATATAGAGCGTGACAACTTGAATTACTGCACTTTTTGCAAAGTGCAATTTAAATTGCTAAAGCGCTATGACTAATGCGACATGTCAGTCTTCTACACAACTCACAAAAACACGTATGCACCGACGTTTGTAAAATAAACCACACCCATGATTTGACAGCAAAACCGCCACCACCACCACCACCAGCATAACTCATTCTCACAATAGCAACAACAACAGTAACAACAAATCTCACTCATTGGCTTAAAATTTTTTTAAAGTTGACAAGTTTAAATTTTCAAGCTTACCTTGAGTAATAAAGTTTTTCTCAAATTTTGTTAAAAATTCTAAATAGAGTAGATCTTCTGCACTTAAAGCTTCTTCACCGACTACAGCTTTCATTGCTTGAACATCTTTACCAATTGCATAACAGGCATACTGTTAGAAAACAGAAAAATATTTTAAAAAATATATATATACATTTATTTAGAAGAACAATGGAACAATTGAACTGCTTATACAAAAACATTAAACTTATAAGATGTGACAAGCAGTTTACCACCTTAAGCAAATTTCATGCAAACCTTTGTACAAACAATCAGTTTCCTTGGACACTAGTTAGCAATTAGTGTCGGTGGTACAGGGGTAGAATGCTCGCCAACCACGCAGGTGGTTCGAGGTTCAATCCCTGGCCACCGACGCACTCCTTTACCTCGATAAGCCAGTAATAAGACTGGTAAAGGAGGAAGGCTGGGCAAGAGGCTAGCAACCCTATCCCGCAAAAATTCAAAGCTCTAGTTTGAAACCCTATGTTCCATTGGGAGCGTAAAAGAATAAAATAAATCAATAATAATAGCAAGTATTGTTATTTGTCTAGTTCTTTATTTGGTGCAGCCTGAGTTCTATCAGTCAAGTTAGCTTACTGACGAGTACTAACTAGTACGAAACTTAAGTCAGAGGCTTCCTCCCGGTTGCCTTCAACCATCTAATATCAACAGTTCACAGTGCACCGTTATGGAGGGTCACCTAGTGGCATAGTGACCACATTGCAAACTTGACTGACAGAACCCAGCCTGCACCAAACAAAGGACTAGACATACATCACGTTAGTTACTAACTAGTGTCCAGTCAAAAGTATCCAGTACAGTCCTACAGAAAGTTAGCTGCAAGGCTCCAATAGCTCACTTGTAACGTCTCGGACTGCAGCGTTCACTGGGTAACGCGGGTTTGAATCTCAGAAAGGATATGAGTTCCTTCAAGGTTACAGGTACGCCTTGTTGACAAGTGCCAACTAGAATGAGACCTAGGTACAAGGATTCCCTCCGATTGCCTCCAACCATCTAATAGTCTCCTCAGTGGAACCACTAAATATAGTGGGATGGAATACGAACAACTAATGGTGTCTATTGATGAAAGATGTTCATCATCAATTTCAAAAGATTAAGATTAGTGAACAAAAAAAATACTGTTTTCGATAACTTCTTGTTCATCAAGCTGTATAATTATATATCTATAACATAATTAAAGAATTATTCAAGTGTTGGTCTGCAGGGAAATGTTTGGTTACAGGATTTCATTATGAACTGACATTGGTTAGAAAACCATTGGAAAATCTAACAGAGAGTACTGGGTGGCTGTTTCGTCCAAATCTGGAGAGACTTTAGCACTTCTCACCCACGGGGATGTAACCCACGACCTTCCGGTTACAAGACGAACTAGTAGACCATACACCATTAGATCGGGTCCCAGTGGTTTAACGGTTTACTCATTCAGTACTCAGTACTCACCCAGTACTCTCTCTGTTAGATATTCCAATGGTTCTCTAACCAATGTCAGTTCATGAAGAAATCCTGTAAAGGATTAGTGTTATTGACATTAGTATTATTAAAACACCAAACTGGGTACATTGAGGGCACCAAGAGTTGTACTACACAAAATATCATAATTTACGCGATGGTTGGGATACTGCCTCAAATACTCAAACCGAGACAGGTGTCTGTCTTAAGGGGCCATCCTCACACGAGTCTTTGACTTCAAGTCTGATCAATACGGTAGTGGAGCAGCGTTCCCTGGGTTGTCATCAGTGTCTAAAACAGGTTCATACGCTATAGACTGTTCTACCTGTTCGGATTCTACGGCCTATATGCACTACAGGTTTGGAATCAGGGTTTTCCAGATCCCCTGTCCGGTTGTAAGTACCAGACCTGTTCACACCAACCTTCGTACTTTTGTGAGGAACATCTTGGAGACATGATGGCAGTGAATAAGACTTAGCTGGCAGAGGGTATGGACGAGTATTATTGACAACGTTATTACTTTTTCTATAAATAACATCTAATCATTAGGATCAATAGAATAAAGCCCAGAACATGCTTGTATATAATAATAATAATAATAATATGCATAAGTATAACACTAAATTCATTATCAGAGAAGTTGAGAAAAGTTGTAATTTGGAATTTATAGATTCTACAGCATGACAGGGTAACGATAGTGGTTGGACCTGTTTCTTCTATATGCGGGAGGGGGGCAGGGGGGTTCCAGTTCTCGAAAAGAGAAGTGTTCTGTGTCTGTCAAACAATAAGCCTTTAGTGTAGCACGGTCGGTTGGTTTTCGACATAGAACTTTGCACAGATGTGCGCCAGTTCAAGTCGCCACACTCCATGGAGCACACAAAGCAAGAGAAGAAAGTAGGAGGAATGCATAATATAGACAGTAAACAGAGGTGTGAGACAAAGGAATAGGAATAACGAAGAACAAAACAGTTTCATTGGAAATCATGAGTCACAAGGAGTGGATGCATCTGCGCCATTGAGAACGATTTAGTGTAGCACATGCGATTTCGATTCAAAGGTGATGATGAAGTAATAACCGAACAATATTGTTGTTTTCAATTAGATCTTCTTCAGGCTTTACTCTAATTTACATAGATTTATGCATCAAAAAGAATTTAACCAATGACGGTGATTTTGTGGATCAAGTAATAATAATAGTGTGGTAAATGTTTTGAATGTAGTTAATAACGATGATTATAGCGATAACAAAATAATGATAATAAGGTTTACGCAAGTGACGATAAGAATAACAAAGGTAGTAATATATGTATATGTAGACAATTCAATATATAAATTAGGTCAAATCTTAAAAGTTATGTAATACCAAATAAAGGTGAAGTGGACAGATAATCAGAGTTGAAATAAATATCATAAAAGTACGAAGGAAATGGAAAATAACTTCGGCTATGTGTAAAAGACAGCTTCTGATTCCGTTCGAAAGGCTCGATGGAATGCGATAGATAACTTTGAAGGCACTACTTCTTTTGTCCACTTGGTGACCACTATCATCAATTAAATGAGCCAAAATAGAACTTCTTATAGATTTTATCTGACCTGTTCCGAACAATGAAGGAAGATGCTCATTAATGCATTTATTTGTTAAGCTGTCTAGTTGTTCACCCTATATAGCCAGCTCTCTCTACAGGAGTAACTAAATATGTAGATACACATTGAAAGTAATAACCGAAAAATTAAAAGAAATCGATTCAAAGAAATTTGAATGTTGGTAAGCTGTGGCTCATATTTTCTACACTACCGACTGTAATTCCAAGAATAAAAAAGCCAAAGCACCTTGTACCCATCAATTTCACTGCTATTGTGGAGAGGTTTCGCGTGCACTTCGGATTGTGAGGGCGACTGTTACTTCCCGGCTGCTCACACCGTGGAAGTTGGTTGCGTGACCGCAGAGCCCAGGGGACAACTGCTTGAGGCCGGTCACACACGGCCTGTTTTTGTTTGTTCTTATTCATTTGGTGTGTCTCAGTAGCACATTTATCACTTCTGCCCTGTGACAAGGCAGCAGGAAGCGCGGTCGTTGTTAATCCGGACCCCGACCGATCCTGCATGATAATTTGTGATTTATTTTGAGTCATAGGATTGGGTTGGGTAACTCTTTTTTGTCTAACCGCTATACAAACAACCTTTCTGGCATGGTAGGACCTACAGGAACATAAGTTCCAGCCAGTATAGCTTGTTGGGTCATTGCGGTGTTCAAGCCCGACCACCACGTCAAGGTAGCAGCTTTCGATCGGAATCGACTTGTTACCAGGGAATAGTCTTATGGACTTAGCATATGCAGACGACATAGTCCTGTTAGGGGAGAATGCTGACAAAATGCAGAGTCTTCTGAACACCTTGAGCAGCAATCTTCGTATGTTTGGCATGCGATTCGCCCCTGTGAAATGTAAGATGCTGCTACAGGACTGGACTACGTCAACTCCTAGCTTAGTGATAGGGAGTGAAGTGATAGAACATGTTGACCACTTCACCTATTTGGGAAGTTGTATCAGCCACCAACGGACTGATTGGTGACGAAATCTCAGCACGGATCCAAAAAGCTCGGGCTGCTTTCGCTAACTTACACCGTCTCTGGCGTAGGCGTGACATCCGGCTATCAACCAAGGGACCTGTGTACTGCTCAGCAGTTCGCTCCGTCCTTCTCTATGGCGGTGAGACGTGGCCATTGAGAGCGGAAGACATGAAGAGATTGTCTGTTTTTCACCACTGATGTTTACGATCTCTCTCTCGAGTTAGGTGGTATAATAAGGTAAGTAATGTTGACGTTAGGCGTAGAGTGTTGGGCAAAGAGGGAAAATCAATCAAAGAGGCTATAAAGTTACATAGATTAAGATGGCTGGGTCACGTGCTGCAAATGCCTAGCCATCGCCTCCCCCGACGGGCACTACTAGCTGATATAGGTGCAGGTTGGAAAAGAGTAAGTGGTGGCCAAACAAAAACATGGCATCAATCCATGAAATCCTTGACAGTTAAACTGAGTCAGGTAGGGAGGGAGATGCAGACTTCCGGGTTGGGGCCCACCCTCGGGACTCTGACAGTGAGGTGATTATTATTACAGGATGGGGTTGCTAGCCTGCTTCATGCCCAACCTTCCCTCTTTACCAGTCTTACTACTGGCTTAGTGAAGTAAAGGAGTGTGTCGGTGTCGGAGAATCGAACCCCGGACCATGTGCATAGTCGGCTAGCACTTTACCGCTAAACCACCGACGCACGAAATCATCGGTAAGTCGCTTAAAACAACCGGTACTCTGTGTTGAAAAGAATCAAATCTAGCCACTATTGCTACTTTGACCTGCTCTGGTCCCTATAAATTCATGAATTCTGTACTATGTTCCTTAATTTGTCTGATATTCAATTTAGAGTTACATTTATGTAAATTATATCAGTTACACATGCTTTTGAACTTTAATCCATTGATCTGAATGATTCGATTTTATTTAAAAAACATTAATGTTGTCAATAATAATAGTGATAATTGTTCAAATATTATGGAAATATATATAGAACTGGTTTTCAATAATCTCTAGAACTTAAGTTAATTCGTGACGAAATCTAACCAATGGAAATTATTCCAAATCATCACAA